CAGTGCTGCGTGCGCTGATCACTTTCCTCAACATCCAAAGCGAAGGCTCGGACGGCTGGGTAGATAGCAGGGCATTGCAACTCATTTTCCAGAACATCCTGCTTGAACGCAACGAAGGTGTCCTGAAACTCTCCCTCCAGCTTTGGAATGCTATCGTCGCAGCCTTGGGTAGCCAACTGGCGCCTCTTATGGAACCCATATTAGATGCCGTCATTCCTCTCACGCTCACACCTATTGGAGTATCACGTCACCCGATATCGTTGAACAAGTCACTACTCATCAAACCCTCCGGACAAGCCATGGGCCCGCCACCCGACTCTGAGCCGAGCCGTAAGTCGTCTCCACCAGATGGCAGTGAGCCAGCTCAGAAGAGAAGAAAGAAGTCGCGTATTGGAAAGGACGAAACGTCAACACCTACTCCAGCCTCACAGTCTCATAACGTCGACGGACACATGATCACTGGTGATCTCGAACTCATAGGCGCGGACGTCATGATCCGTTCCAGGACTTCTGCAGCACAAGCTCTCGGCAAAGCGATGGGAGCCTGGCCTGAAGAGTCGAGGCTCGAGACCTTCAGATCTAGGCTGCTGGCCCCATTGTCCTCTCAGAACTCGTCAACCCAACTGACGGCTGCAATCATCATTGAGGAGTTTGGAAAGAACCTGGCAACTAAAGATGCCTTGGCTGAGTCCTTCGTCCAGGCCCTGCTGCCTATGGTTGAAGGCGAGAGGCCTGCCGCCTACGAGGATCTTGTGCCCAAGCTGCAGATTGTTCGGACTCAATGCCACTCTTTGTTGAGCATCTTCCACGACGCCCATGTCCAAAGCCTGCCACAGATCGCTGCCCTTGTCCAGGGCATGCCGAATGCGAACCACTATGCATTTGGCGTCGCAGATGCCGAGAAGCTGATCAACGTGCAGTTCGAGAAGCTAAAGAAGGCCATGACGCCGTCCGCCCGCATGGTCGCAGGAGCAAATCTGGACACAGCACGCAAGGAAGTAGAGACGAGCATCCAAGAAGCCAAGGACATCAAGGAAGAACGCGATGTTCGCATCAAGGCCGCTGCAGCCGGTGCACTTGTCGCGCTCAACTCGCCGCCGAAGAAGCCATCACCCCCGATTAAGGCGATGATGGACAGCGTCAAGAAAGAAGAGAACGTTGAGCTACAGAGACGTTCGGCAGCTGCAGTCGCTGGCTACATTGTGTTCCTCGTCAACGCTAAGAGATCTGGTGTGGTCAACAAGGTTGTCGGCAATTTGGTCAAGTTCTACTGCATGGAGACAGCTGAAACGCCCGAGTTCGCCGGCCAGGCACACATCGAAACAGGCATTCTTACGCTCAAGAAAGATGAAGATGTGCGCGATCACCCAGACGCTGCTCGCTTCGCAGAAGAGTCGCGGGCAGCCAGGATCACCAAGCGTGGTGCGCGAGAGGGTCTTGAGAAAGTCGTTGAGAGCTTCGGCGCTGAGATTTTCGAGAAGGTGCCTATCCTGAAGGATTTGATTGAACGACCCATCAAGGACGCCTTTACCGAGGCCACGCTTCCCGCGCAAATCTTCAATGAGGACGGCGTCTTTGGCCAGGAAGTTGTTGATGCCCTATCAACTCTACGTGCTCTGGCCGGCAGTTTCCACCCAAGCGTCAGAGGCTTCGTCAAGGACCTGCTTCCACTTATTGCCAAGGCTCTCCAAAGCAAACTGTATGTCTTGCGATACGCAGCGGCCAAATGCTTCGCCACTGTCTGCAGCGTCATGTCTGTCGAAGGTATTACCATGCTTGTCGAGAGCGTGCTACCAACCATCAGCGACGGTGGAAACGTGTACGCCCGCCAGGGAGCCATCGAGTGCATCTATCATCTCATCCATGTTATGGAAGACGCAATCCTACCATATGTCATCTTCCTCATCACCCCGGTTCTTGGTCGTATGAGCGACTCTGACAACGACGTCCGACTACTGGCGACGACCAGCTTTGCCACACTTGTGAAGCTTGTACCACTTGAGTCTGGAATTCCAGATCCGCCAGGCCTTCCGGACACTCTCCTCAAGGGCCGAGACCGAGAGCGCAAGTTCGTCGCCCAGATGCTGGATGCGAAGAAAGTGGAGCCTTTCGAGATTCCTGTCGGTATCAAGGCGACGCTCCGTTCATACCAACAAGAGGGTGTCAATTGGCTGGCGTTCCTCAACCGGTACAACCTTCACGGTATTCTCTGCGACGATATGGGTCTTGGTAAAACGCTACAAACGCTATGCATGGTGGCAAGTGATCATCATATGCGCGCAGATGAGTTCGCCAAATCCGGCGATCCCAACTTCCGACGTCTACCATCTCTCATTGTATGCCCGCCAACGCTGTCTGGTCATTGGCAGCAAGAGATTCGCCAGTATGCACCCTTCCTTAGCTGCGTAGCCTATGTTGGCTCGCCACCTATCCGCGGTCAGCACAGGAATCAGCTCGATAAGGTGGATATCGTCATTACTTCGTACGATATCTGCAGGAACGACGCCGACATTCTCAAGCCCATCACCTGGAACTACTGCGTACTGGACGAGGGTCACTTGATCAAGAACTCAAAATCCAAGACCAGCCAGGCTGTCAAGCAATTCCAGTCGAATCACCGCCTCATCCTCTCCGGTACACCTATTCAAAACAACGTGCTCGAGCTATGGTCGCTCTTCGACTTCCTTATGCCCGGTTTCCTTGGTACAGAGAAGGTCTTCCAGGAACGTTTCGCGAAGCCTATCGCTGCCTCCCGGTTCGCCAAGAGCTCGTCGAAGGAGCAAGAACGGGGTGCGCTGGCGATCGAAGCTCTACACAAGCAGGTGCTTCCGTTCCTCCTTCGCCGTCTCAAGGAAGAGGTGCTGGATGACCTGCCGCCTAAGATCCTGCAAAACTACTACTGCGATCTATCTGAGTTGCAACGCAACCTTTTCGACGACTTCACCAAGCGCCAAGGCAAGGAGATTCAGTCTAAGGCCGGTAACGCCGACCGCGAGAGCAAGCAACATATCTTCCAAGCTCTTCAGTACATGAAGAAGCTGTGCAACTCACCTTCGCTCGTCGTCAAAGGTCCCACCAACAAGGCATACGAGCCGACTCAGCAATATCTTAAGAAGCACAACACTACGATCGACGACATCGCGCATGCGCCCAAGCTTAGCGCTCTTAAGGATCTGCTTGTGGACTGTGGTATCGGCGCATCCGACGTGGTCAGCGACAAGTCTGCCGCCGCTAATGGCGACCTACCGGAAGCTGTCTCGCAGCATCGTGCTCTCGTCTTCTGTCAAATGAAGGAGATGCTCGATATGGTTCAGCACAACGTGCTCGAGAAGTTGCTTCCGTCAGTGCAATTCATGCGCCTTGATGGTGGTGTCGAAGCTACCAAGCGCCAGGAGATTGTCAACAAGTTCAATACCGATCCTTCATACGATGTCTTGCTTCTGACAACCAGTGTCGGTGGTCTGGGTCTCAACTTGACTGGTGCCGATACCGTCATCTTTGTTGAGCACGACTGGAACCCGCAAAAGGACATCCAAGCCATGGACCGCGCGCATCGTATTGGTCAGAAGAAGGTCGTCAACGTTTACCGAATCGTCACGCGCGGTACCTTGGAAGAGAAGATCTTGAAGTAAGTATCCCGAACTCCCCCAGTTGAACCCTGTCACTAACAAATGCTTTCAGTCTCCAACGTTTCAAGATCGATATCGCTTCCACCGTCGTCAATCAACAAAACGCGGGTCTCCAATCCATGCAAACAGACCAGATTCTCGACCTTTTCAACGTCTCGGCCGATTCGAACGATCCTGCCGCACTACCAGCACCACCCAGCAACGCCAAAGACGATCGCACAGGCATCGACGAAAACGACGCCGTCGACGCGACCGGTGCGCTGAGAGAGAAGGGTAAGAAGGGCTTCTTGGACGAACTAGGCGATCTCTGGGACGAGAAGCAGTATGAGGAAGAGTTCGATCTCGACGGCTTCCTCGGCAAGATGAAGGCTTAAGCCATGCCCGGTGGTTTTGAGTCCCTTCCACACTACAACTACCTTGTGCCTGCCTACCAGGCCAAGACACATCATCTTTGGGCGGATTAACAGGCGTACATTGGCGTTTTCTTCTTTCCGCCACGGGGCATGACATGACATGCATATGGTATCAATGTCTCCATTGATCGATCGGGTTGGTATGATGTTTTTTGCATTCTCACAGGCTAGGTACTATGGAAATGTGTGTATTAGCATGGCGTTGGATGAGGGCTTTTTGTCTTTTTATGTTCTTTGTATCCTTTGCTTCGATTGTTGAGGGAGCGGGGAAAGTGGTTCATGTATGTCTAGCCTGTGTGAGTAGAGTATGATGTATGCTGAGAGAACTGTTATGATTGTTTTGTTACTTTGCATACTGTGATGGTGAAAGTGGTGAAGCTGTGAAGGCTACTCGTCAGCACGACGTCAATGCTTGTGAGATAGTGCAGAATAACAGAGCACTTTATGGGTGCACTACCGCAGAATAACTTAGCACTTTATGAGTACACTACCAATTCTAGGTATGCACAGATGCGCTATGAGGTTCATGTTACGCTGAGAATTGTACTCGTCTGTCCAGTCATGTCATGTATCATCACTACATGAGCGCATTCTAAGGGCTTCATGAATTCGTCATATTTGGCTACTACTCCCTCTACATTCAATTACTCACCAATCAACGCGCTTGGAAAGGAGGATCGAGTAAAGCTATTAAGTGGGCTAATGGCGAAAGGTTCGTTACGTCGTCTATAGTCGTTGCATGTTTATCGCAGTAGTAGTGACCTGCCAATGATGTAATCTTTGAGCGGCTACCGATCCGACAGTCTTGATCACGGTCACTACTAATTTGGAAGCCATCCCTCTCTCCACACCCACTCCGGCATAGGTTCTTCCCATCTCACCACACTGCCAACTCCCGGAGGGACAAATTCACTCACATGCCCATCTCTTGTCGGCAAGGCGACGAAAGCACCTTCCTTTAGCAACGGCTTCTGACCTTGGCTTATCAGCACGTACCCCGCGAGTTGGATATTGACGCCGAAGTCGTAGCACTTGGAGCGGAAACCCCGACCCATAATATTGAAGGCCGTCACAAAGTCCATCTCGCACCACTGATGACGTGTGTAGTAGACTTCTGATATCTCGGCTATTGCCTGGCGATCCCAGATGCGTACGAACTCGATGGTGGGGTTGCTGAGTGTAGGGCGGGACAGACGCTTGATGTGGTGGTAGAGGAGTTGTATCGAGGCCGTGGTGATGAAGGTGCGTATCGTGCGTTTTTCAGCATCGCTAAACCGGTAGTTCGGCAAAGAGGATACAATTTTATCTATGCTGCCGGGTAAGAATACGATCTCGTTCACAAGATATTTTTCGGGCAAGTCTGATAAATCCCAATCCGCAGTGGTTTTGCGAGCTTCGGCGAGGTCTTGGAGGAACTTGGATGTTCTGCTCTCGTAGTCGACAAGAGTTTCCGGGGCAGCGTGTTGGCCAACTGGAACGAGATCGAGTCTTGAGCGGAGGTGATCAAAGTCGCGTGCCGCAGCTCTTACAATCGGTGCTAGGGACTTGGCGTGGGTGTAGGGATCAATGCTGCCTGCAACCTTGGGCGATGCCTCAAGGATGAAATTTCGGATCGTTTGGTGGACGAGTGGCGCTGCCTCTTCGTGAATTTCCTTGCAGACTCGGAGAATAGAAGTGTTAGTGCTGCGGTGGATGAGCGTGAAAGATGGCTGGTGTCGAAGAAGCCAGTAGTCGCTGTGGTGAGGCTCGATTGTCGTGTTACTGATAGTCCGAGGAAGATTTTCGTACACGATGAATCTTACCTCCTTGGGGAGGTCAAGGAAGCGGAAGGGCTCATCAGGCATTCGTGGATGTGTCTTGTTGCGTGGAAGCTGAGGTTGCGGCTGGTATGAGAGAAGGAAATGCAGGTGCAAAGGTTTTTGTATTGTATTCAGGTGCAAGATTCATCGCGGAATGAATCCGTACGGTTTGAACCACGGTTCCATGGTCGCATGTAATGTGATGCTTGTCCAGTCATTGGTGTTGGTTGTAACCTTGGTCGCTGATTTCATGGTTCCACACTTTGCGGTAGCGCATCGTCTTCTGAATGTGCATCTTACCCTTACCTTATTGAGTGCAGCACGTGTATCACGACATCTGACCGCGTATCTTTTGAACAAACTCGCATCCCACCTTATCCATACCTGCTCACAAGTCCTGTTCAGCTTTTGACTCAACTGAGACAACAAACTGGGCAACCATGTCGCATGGGGAGGATTGTTACAGGCGCTCGGGCGACGTGATTATCAACCGCTGGGAATCGGTGGCTTCGGAAATGGACTGGCGTTCACCATGGCTTCCTTTGCTCAGGTTCCGGGCGGAGCTCGCGAGTATACACTGGCATATGATATATAAGTGTCTCCTCCGGTATGTAAACAGGTAAGTAATGGCATCTCCGGTTCCATGCAGGTAGGGCAATGTGGATGAGAAGAGAAGTTATGGCCTGGGTCACGTCCTTCTGGTGATGATCCAGCACTGCCTTCGTCGTTTGGAATGGCAGCAGAGCAGCAGAGCTCTGGCATAACCTGAGCTGGAGCTGTATCCACAGGTGAAAATCCTAGGCATGATAGAGGTGCTGGTGGCATATTCCAGTGGCGGTGTGACGGGTGCAGGTGGTCCTTCGAGAGGCCGTAACATGGTCAACATAGGCCGGGGTCTCCATGCAGCCGAGGGTGGCACTTTAGCAGATTCGGGCAGGCACAGCTAGCAGTGGCTATGGAAGCCATCCAGTCGGGGAAGAACAGTCGCTTTGGAGAAGAACGATGCAACGCAAGAAAGTTTACACAAGAAGAACAGAAACTTTGCGTACTGAGATGTGCATCGGATGCTTCGCGACCAAGTCAAATGCCGACAGTTGTTCAGGCGTCCGGGTGGGTCACGAGCTCGTGCCAGAGACACCGTTGTGCACCAATCACAAGCTGCTCACACGCAACTCCGTTCTCGATGTCGAATGATCTGACCGCCTTATCTCGCTACGACGAAGCCGCTCCATCACGAGCCTGATCAAGCCAGCTGTGCGCTTAGCATCTATATGATCGGCATTGATTATGTGGCAGCGGAGAAAGCGATTAGGAGGGTCTCCTGGCACTGGCAGTTATCGCCGAAGCCCACCGGAGCGTTTTCCGGCTGAATGCAGGTGTGCGGCACATGCAAATGAATCCGAGGCGGTCAACACGCATCGCGGTCAAAACGAAAAGCGCCATATTGCTGCTCCGGCCATGGAAGCTGAAGCGCGCAAAAAGAGTAATCCGACTAACAAACTATGGCAACGACTATGACGGAATCTGGAGATCGGATCGTGAAGTACCGCCGGCGTAAAGGCGCTGGACTTGAGGCCGAAATGAAGGTCGACTGCACAGGGCGTGGTGGAGACGAAAGGGGACAGCGCAGAAAGCAGCTAGACCGCGTTGGTAAGCGACTAATGCTTAATCTCCACCCTCGGCAAAGTGGCGTGGCCAATGCCATTATCGATTCTGGAGCCACGGCGCCTCACACAAAGGACCGTTCGGTCGTGCAACACCGGCTCCGGCGCGAAAACAACACCAAGGGCAGGTGACGTCTTCCGTAAGCAAAAGACCGAGTGTGCTGTTTGGTTCTCACAGGCTCGAGCGTGCGTGAACGGCGCAGTGAGATGTTTGCAAAACTAAACATGCGCTGACGCACCCTGCAGATTCTGCAACACTGACACCGTAAAGACACTATTTCAGGAAAATGATCTCCAGAGGCTTTGCTGGGAGGCCCAAGTGCCGGTGGAGAACCTCTGTTCAACGGGCAACACGATAAGGACCGCCCCTGAAGATACCCTGACGAGATCGCCACCTAGAGGCTCAGCTCGCACAGAGCAGAGGCCGTGAGGGCAAACGTGCCTCGCGATGTTCTCGAAATGGAAATGCTGCGTTCCTCCGCCTATAGCGCGTAATTAGAACAACAGCCGCCGGCCTGGGGATGGCGGCCTGTGTGCAGCAAGACGACAACAACACAGTCTGGACTGAACGACCAACACAGGCCGTTCATTTCTGCAACACGAGAAGCCACCGCGAGCCTCCACAGCCAACCTGCCGATCTGGTCTTAGCACCAGGCACGCACCGCCTGCGAGTGGCCAGCGGGGCGGCAGGCCAGCTTGGTTCCTGCATTAGCCCTGACATCCGCCAGACCACTTGCAGCGCCCAGATGCTTTGGCCCCTGTCGCCCGTCCTGTTTCCCCCTTTCAGTGGCCACTTGTTTCCGGTCCGCGCTACCGTGCTGTAATCTCCTGACGGTATATATCCAGGCAGCGAGGTCGCCTTGCTGTTTTTTTCACTTCACAGCCAAACTTTCGAGCTTCAAGTCCTTTGACCTTCGGTCGTCCATTCGTTGTTACCAACTAATACTATCATTAATAATACACACTCGCCAACTCTCTCCCACCACCTCCACCACCAACCAACACTTCCAACTTTACCGTTCCAAGTCCTAATACCCAACAATCAACATGCGTTACTCCATCGCCATCGCTGCCTTCGCCGGCCTTGCCGCTGCCGTTCCCCAATACGGCGCCTACCCCGCCGCCCCGGCCAGCACCCCCGCTGCCCCGGCCTACCCTGCCTACCCTGCTCAGCCCGAGTCCAGCAAGCCCGCCTACCCTGAGGTCCCTGCTGAGAGCTCCAAGGCTCCCGAGTACCCAGCCTACCCCGCTGAGACTCCCTCCGCTCCTGCTCCTGAGTACCCCGCCTCCAAGACCCCCGAGGTCCCTGAGCACGAGTCCTCCGCCATGCCTGCTCCTTCGGCCTCCAAGCCTGCTGAGTACCCCATGGAGACTCCTTCCAAGCCCGCTGAGGTTCCCTCCGTCTCCACCAAGACCCCCGAGGTTCCTGAGCACGCCACCTCTGAGGTTCCCTCTTACCCTGCCTCCTCCATGACCCCTGAGGTCCCCGAGGCCGAGACCACCTCTTGCCTCAGCTCCACCACCATCACCGTCACCGTCCCCTACCCCACCGGTACTCCCGTCGTTCCTGGTGCTGGCAAGCCCTCCGGCTACCCCATGGTTCCCGGTGCCGGCAAGCCTTCCGGCTCTGCTCCTTACCCATCTGCCCCTGCCGGTGGTGCTCCCTACCCCTCTGTCCCTGCTGGCACTGGTGCTCCCCCTGCTGCTGGCACTGGCTACCCCACCAAGACCGGTGGCTACGTCAAGCCCTCCACCCCCGCTGAGTTCACTGGTGCTGCCTCTGCTCTCAACGTCGGTGGTTTCGTTGCCGGTGTTGGTGCTTTCGCTGCTTTCTTCTTGTAAATGTCATAACCTTCAATTGAGCCTGCCTACGGGCAGGCTATGACTTTACACGATACATTGCATCGAGGATTGGTCTTCACTTCAGTAGATATCCTTGGTGTCGGAAAGGGTAATTGTAATTAGTCCGGGGATGGTGTGGTTGAATAAGAACTTGGAAAATACTTCTCTGTGCCTCATCGTGATGCCTCTATGCAATGCTGTGAACTTGATCCATTCCACAATGCTACATCAATCTGCATCTACCTACTCCTCTCGATCACTTGGCGAATGATCTCGAAGCCCACTACACACGAACGCTGAACCGATGCTAACACAACCTGGGTTTTATGCCCTACCAAAGGCCGTCATGAACTGCTGTGGCATGCGACGTAGTCGCACATGGATACACAGCATCAGCCTACATGTACGTCTTCTTTGCTTATGTACCTGCGAACGTGCCTGCTTCTTTCAGTGCCACGATGCCAAGGATAGCGCTGCATGCGACGCGATGACGCTCTATCGCCGAAGCGAAAGCTGCCCATTGATTACCGCAAACTCGCTTCCTAAGAACACCAGAACTGCACCCTACGTTCTCTTGCAAATCCGCTTCGACGACCACCTGATCACGGACGGTGATGACCCTGCATGCCGATAATTGTTGGAAGCGTAGCCTGGAAGCTATGTTTCGGCCACGAACTATAATTCGATAGCCATGGTTGTTTCATCAGCCGTGCACCGTCGCCGCGCTGCGAACGCCACCCTCTACACTTTTCAAGCTTTGCGCTAGACCAGCGCGCACCACGGACATCTAGCATAGTTCCTTCTACGGGTGCTCGGTTCGTTGGCGCACGTCTAGCATGTGGATGCAGGTGCTGCAACACGACCACGGGAACACAACAAGCTAATTGCGGCATGCCGAATGCCTCCGACAGTTACCCTCGTCCAGCTTGAGCAGACTTGCCAGCTTTCAAAAGGCACATTTCAATATTGAACTGCATAACAGACAGCTCTAACAGTCTTGGGCATGCTTAGTCAATACTCGCGTCAACGGGTAAAAGGTGGGGTTCCGGTATCCTTTGCTGCATGAAACGGCCAACCACCAATAGTACTCAAAAACATCGTCTAGACGTCTGACTTTACAGGAATGAGCGCAGGGTCACGATACTACCGCCCGAATCCAGAGCTTACCCAGCTAGCCACGTCTCACCTGAGAACCTACCCAGTCCTGCCTGGCATTCCTGGCAAATCGTATGAATTGGAGGCGTCAGTGGGCTTGCCATTTTTGGAGTCAAGAAATATTTGCTTGTCAGCTTACTTTTAGATGATAGGTCCTTTGTTTCGAATGTGTAGGCGAGGATACGACTCGGTACGCGAACGTTGGACGATCGTTGCCAATGTGCGAGCCAGCCTGACGGACCTGAGCTGGAATAATGGTATGGAAAAATTGGGAAGTATAAAGTGAGAGAGTAAACTTCCTGAAGTGAACCACGCGTTCGCTTTGGTTTCTAAAAAACCCTTCTTACTTGATCGATCTTCTGAGCTGTCGAATCAGATTCCCTCGTCTCGTTATGAAGACCTTTACGCTTTTCTCGGCCTTCCTGGCCACAGCCATCGCTGCTCCAGCCACACTTGCGCCAAGCGACATCACACCACGCACATTGGGCGTCCTCAAGGGCCTCGCCAAATGTCCGGCAAACCCAGCTCAACCCGACGGGAAATTACCAAAGGGAAGCATATCGACCTCAGCCCTGGTACCCATCAGCGCGAAGAACCCCGACAAGGCATACCCAGCTACTGAATGGGCGACCGTCACCCCCAAAGACAAATGCACAATCTTCAACCTCGAGCTCGACTCCGACGCCACCCAAGGCAAGATCTGCAACCTTGTCTTCGATTTCCCGTCTCTCGTCCAAGCACCCGGTCTCTTCGTCTTTAAGGGACCCGGACATTTCACATTCACCGGTTATGCCATCAACGCTGGTGCAGAGCCTGGCGTTACTACATACAACAAGCAGCCAGCTCCGGGCCCCAGTCCGCCCAACCCACCGCCAGTCCTGAAGCCAGGCAACAGCTACATTATCAACGGTGCGCCGTGTGGAATACCGCCTGGTATTGGCAAGGTGACTGTCAGTGGAGCATTGTGTTCCGAAGATACGACGTTGACGTTCAAGCAAAGCGACTTGATCTGTCCGTTGGGCTTTTACGTTGTGCTTACTGATGATCCTAATGCGGGAGGGTATGCGGCTCCTCACTAAAATTATTTGGTGTCGTTCAATGATCATAAGGAGCATTAATTCAGTACATTAGCGTAAAGACTCCAATTCATGTTTGCAGTGTCCAACTTTGACATTCTCTCGCGCCTTCGTGAAGAAACGGGGCTACATGTAGCGCTGTCGGGTTCGCTCTTCCCCTACCGTCATTCTGCATCGATGCAACTCCGTCATCGCCCGATCAACGTCGTCGATACCGGTATGAGGAGTGTGAAGAGATATGCTATACTGAGTATCGCAGCGATATGGACACAACCCGACGAACATCGGACATCTCCGACACCCGGTCGCTCTTGCGTGCTTGCGACGTTGCGCGGGGAAGCGTACTAACCCTATCAATCTCTACAGCGTCAAGAACTCGACTTGCTTTGTATCGATCAACCAAACTGTCCGATTTGTACCATCGCAATATAACAACTCTGTTTCGTGTATCATTTCCAGGATTCAGATGCGCATCGTCGTCCCATGTCAAGTTCATCCAACTACCTAGAAGCTCAAGATGCAAGCGCACAACAGCGCAACGATTGAACGTCTCAAGAGCACGACTTGGTACTTCTTCGATCTCGACGACACGCTCCACGAGTTTCGCAAGGCGTCTTCCGCCGCCGTAGATGCGACACTCCGCCTCATCCTGGAACACCACGCTCACCATAAACTTTCTTCCTGCAAGCCGCTCACAGTCGCCGAGCTAAGAGCGGAATACCTTAAGATGCTCAGAACCAGGACATCTGCCGCATTCGTGGATGGAAAAACAAGCCACGAATACCGCGCTGAGCGCTTTCAGGGTGTTATGAACACTTTTTGTATCGATTGTACGGAGCAGCAAATGCAGGTATTGCTCCACACGTATGAGAACACACTTATGCGGAATCTGCAACTCAAAGAAGGCGCTATACCACTTCTTGAGACACTGAAACAACAAGGGAAACAAGTGGTAATCATCACCGAAGGTCCTCAAGATTCGCAGGAACGTACTGTTGCTGCTTTGGGCTTAGGGCCATACTTCGACAGGCTCGTTACAACGAACAAGTTTGGTGTGGCAAAGATTGACGGCCTTTTTAGCAAGGCGTTGGAGATGGTTGGTGTGAAGAGCGAGGAGGTGGTTATGGTGGGTGACAGTTGGGATAGGGATGTTGTTCCCGCGGTGGAAGCGGGTATCAAGTGTGTGTGGTTAGCTGAGAAAGATGAGGGAGGAGAGAGGATTGTTGCTTTGGGAGGGGAGGAGAAGAGAGTGATGGTAGTGGATTCGTTGGTTCGGTTGCAAAGCCTAGTCCTAGAGTCCTCGTATTGATCGTTGATAAGTCTGCAGTACATATTGCGCAAATACGCAACAGAGAGAAAGCATGAAATATACAATCATCTTCGAAATCTATCTGATGTCTGACGAGGAAATGAGACCTAGTTTTTACGCCTATTGGGCTGCGGTGGTGTCTTCCTTGCCGAATCCGACCAAGTCGAAATCCCAAACCATCCCATCGGGCAAACGATTCCCGTCCTTGTCGAGGGGATACCCTTCCTTGTCAAGAATGTTTCCATCCTCATCGACGAGGTTCCCATCTTTGTCGATAAGGTCTCCCTCCTTGTTGATGAGTCTCCCATCTTCGTCGACCAGATTCCCATCCTTGTCGATGAGCTCTCTCTCCTCGTTGATGAGTCTCCCATTCTTGTCGACGACATGCCCATCCTCGTCGATAAACTGTCCCTTCTCGTTGACGAGCTTCCCTCCTTTGCGAAGGTTCCCATCCTCGTCTCTATAGGGCGCGGTCTCCAGGGCAGCCGGCATAGTGCGCAGGTAGCCATCAGTCGGCTTCCTTTGCTTCAATTTCTAGTTTTTTTCTAGTCAGCTTTGCTGGACTTGGAGGAGGAATGTCCATGTAACACTGCGGCAAAAGAATCCTTCAAAAGAAGAAGTCACGTACCTTCTCCCTCCAAAACCTCGAGCTCTGTTTGAAATGTACACCCTTGAAAGAGACGGCATGTCCTCCAGGTTCCTACTTGTTCTTAGTAATGATAATTGTCGGATAGGAATAAGTTTGCATACATTGTATATTCTGTGCTGGTTCATATCGCTCTGGGAGTCGCGCGAAGTAGTGAGTCCGAGTTTGCCGATATTTGTCGCCCCCAGTTCGGCTCCGAGATCGATTGTACTACCCGTCTTGTTCCACATGGCAATATCGCACTCCTCTGTGACCCATGTGTCCATGATGACCCAGACGCCGTAATCCTTGATTTGTTGAGGATGGTTACCGATCATGGCTGCCATGTTATCTCCAATCCATTTCACGATGATTGGGAGCGCCTTGGTATTGAAATAGTGGTGTATCACATGTGGAGATACGGCCACGCCTGCGCGAAGGTTCGCAGTGCTTCCTAATGCGAAATTGGCTCCCACATCCACAGGTGCTTGAGCAGCAATTCCGGACACCTCTGCTTTGCCGCCAAAGCCGCGACCCTCGTGATTCTCCGAAAGCTGTTTCTTCCATGTGCACGTTGTCGGGTCCTCCAGAACGAGCGGCTTGATGGGGGGTTGGTAGTCAGGGTCCTTGGTGTCCGCAAGATCAGTAAATAATCTCCAGAGTCCGTCATCGTCGAAGTAGCCGCAAGAGCCAGGATGAAAGACTTTGGAATTGGGTGGTGAATACAAGTAGGTGCCGTCGGGGCACTTCTCCATGAGAGTGGCGTATGCTAGATCCATTTCGCTGTCGTGGTTGTTTAGAAATATAAAAGGTTCAGGATGAAATGCAAATAGAGTGGCTGAAGTCTGGTCTTCTCACTTTTGGGCGATGCCCTCTATTATGCTGCCCAAGTTGCTTACCTCAACGAAAAAAAAGAAACGGACATACGCTATGAGCTGAGAATCACTATCTGCAGCTCGTCGAGCCATACCGCAAGTACTCTGGAGTAGCCAGGTTAACCCCAACAGTAATCGCCGAACAGAGGATACAGCTGCGAAGTTTTGGGCAAATGACGGGCTGCGCAAAGGTGTTGCCAGTCAAACACCAATGCACGGCTCCGCAGATCATGGAACACGGCGAGGCTATCGAAGATCATTTCCACACTCTTATGTTGATCGATAGGGCATAGCGAGAGTGTCGAAAATCGTTCCCACACCTTTATGTCGATTGATAGGGCGGCACAGTGAGGGTGCAGAAAATCATCCCCACACATCTGTAGTGATCGCTGGGGCGGCCCGCGCGCCGTCGGTGGTTCCGAAGACACACAGCTTGTACGTAGCCCGCAGACCGGCGCTGTCATATACCGTCGCCCTAACACACAACGTGTGATGGACGTTTGAGCCTGTGAATTTGCGCTAGAGTATGAATGTAGTCAGTTGTTTGTGCTTGTAAAGGCGTTGCATTCGTCGCGAACATGCCCGTCGATTTCTCTAGTGGTTGAGGGTATCTGCGAATTTCGGTATGCCAACGCACATCCGGACTCCGATCCTGATCGCACCTACGTCATTAAAAGTTTATATTCTGGACTTTCGACCACAGTTCTGGAAAGGGACTTGGTCGAAGCTTCCTATGATGTTGTTCTGTCGTCAGAAAGCTGTCGTAACTGGCGTATCTAAGCGAGGTGGGCCTGCTGTCATCGCATTTGTCGTGGGCTTCTGCGGGTTTGACTCGATCGAGCGGTCGAGAAGCTCTTTGGCAGCCGCCTTCAGTATATCAGTGGGTTCGTGTTCAGAGGGACGTCGCGCTATCGGCGTACTCGAGAACGCGTCGTTAGCGCACACGTCGCGAGAGCTGTCAGTGTCAGTGTGCTCCGTGCGCAATCTCGGCATTCGCTCCCGCGGTCCACGAGTCTTGCCGATGCCACAAGCGTGAAAGCAAAGGATTAGCACGACTTTAGCATCGATCACTTCTGCACAAGACAGCAGACCAACCGTGATGATCGTCGTCAGACAACGGCAGTTCTTTGAGCAGTTCTAGATAACACACTAGCAGCAACCTACGCCTCCATCTCAGTCTCGCCATCACACTCCATTCCGTCCATCCCGACTCACATACCACATAGCCTCATGCCCATCACACCTCACCGTCCCCCGCGCCGCGACCTTCCCACCATGCAAATGCGCAAACCTCTTAACCGCCTCATCAATAATATCAGCCATATCCTGGTTATTCATATCGAACGAGAACTCATGCGGCGTGTTGGGTATAGCACCAATACTGAACCCGCAGGGAAATTGGTGCATATGTTGTTGGTAACCTTCTGGTTTGCCTTTGGCATATCGGTGTTAGTGGGGATGAGTGGAGGCGCTGAGTGGATTTACCTTCTAAGTTGACGACCCATTCGCCGGCGTCTCCGAAGATACTAAAACACGACTCCTGGCATTCTGTTGTGGTGGGTGGGTTGGCTGCGGAGAGGGTGGTGTCTTCGTAGGTGAGTGTGTCGCAGTGGCCTAGTGTGCTCTTGTCGCCTTCGCAATAGTTGATGTCGGGGGAGAGTTGGGCTGCTGTGAAGGTGGCAGCGAGGAGGCTGAGAAAGAGAGATGATGTTGAGTGCATGGTGATGGCTTGGTGAGGTGAGTTGAGTGTGATGCTGTAGAGAGAGGAATGGTTATGAGGGAAAATGAGGTCGTCTTGTATGTGATGACATGATTCTACGCCTTACGCATACATACGAGGTGCATCACAGCGTAGGGTAGTTATTGGATGGAACATGGGATGATGTAAGAGGTGCAGCGGTGATGCGAGGTAAGTCGTATACCCGCGGGGATCTTCAGATGAAGTGACGAATCAGATTGACGGCAGCGTGTTCATCGGCGAACAACAGGCCATGATCTACATACCCGCCATCACGGCGTAGCCCATTCACACGATATAAGCTGCATGCGCGCCTAAAATCCCAGGCCAGCGCGTCGAGATACATGAGTTATACCACCCATGTATCTATCTGACATACTGACACCATACCGTCAGCTGACACTGTGCCTATCCAACGCTTTGCTCCTTCCCTTCGTCACACTTCCTGATCGGCTCCTCGAAGTGTTTCAAACTTCGGGATGCTACAACTCAGACTGTCGGTCCTTGCGATATTCTTTAGCTCGCTTGCGACCCTCCGCAGCTAGCTTAAGACCTTCCTTAGCTCGCTTCCAACGTTCCTCAGCTAGCTTGCGAGCTTCCTCAGCTCGCTTTGTACTTGCGCCAATTCATCCTTTGAAAGTACATCGTCTTCATCTGTTTCGTCCACACCATGAGATCCCAACCGCTTAGCAACACCGTCCGAAACTGAAAACATTCCCTTGTTTAGCTCAACGACCAAAGCGTGCCTCTCTTTCGATTGCTCCTTGCTTTTCTTCTTTTCAAGCATCTCACCACCCTGGAAGACAAACGTGCGGTCAGTAAGTCGCTTCCACAACTTGATGAATGGACACGACGTTTTATCGGACTTATCCGAGCTTTTTGCAATACGAGACTTGGAAGAAATGTACACGCGGCCATCGTTAGAGCCCAGCGGGAGATCACCAACGTGATTCATCTGCTCAGCAAACTCCTCCCACAGCGCGTTCATCTCAGTCTGATAAACCTCGGGCATATCGTCGAAATCAGGGTATTCCTTGTACATAGCGCTGATTCGATCCGTTATCTTCTTAAGCTTACGCGAAGGCGTGTCCTGGTTGATACGCGGTGACTCACTGTCGTCTTGGTTGAGACGCAGTGTCTCCCCGTCGTCTTTCATGTGGATAGAACCAAACCGCTCAACGAGACCTTCCACACGGAAGATCGAATGTTCGAGTTCTCGATTTAGGATAATAAAGCGTGTGTTGAACTCCTCTTTCACAGCTGGGTCGATATCAAGTGAGTTAGTGGTAGCTTGAACTCTGTCTGTGAACGTGGACACAGCCTTTTTGGCGTTATCGAGAGCGAGGATGGCGCGATTGCCAGCGGTAGCGATGCTCGCTTGTAGGGAGGCTTTTGGCGGGGCCGGGGCGGAGGCGGACACTAGGCATGCTAGGCTAGCGAAGAGGGTGGTGGTCGTGGACAGCTTCATGTTTTGTGACGAGTGACTGTGGGTGTAAGGTTGAGAGATTGAGTAGAGGCAGTGGGTGGATGGGAGGGGATCAGAAGTTAGACTGGTGGTACCATATATACATCGAGCGAAGAAGCAAGAGGGTGATTCACGCGCGGACCGTGCTATGAGAAGGCGAGTGAGCTGCCCATCGATGACATGCTTTCACTATCTACGGAGGACTAGCGGTGTCTTTCACGCGTGGTTCCATTTAGTAAGACAAACTTATGCACACTTGGATAAAGGTAGCAAACAATATGGGGTATCCTAACACATCCAAACCAACCTGCCCAAACAGATACGCCGCGCAATGCTTTTACAAGGAGACAAAAGTATCTCTTCGTTCTCTTCACAAACCACCCATCTGACTGACCTCTCCAAACCCCACTCTCGCCCTACCACCTCTCGGCCTCCCCTTCTTCATCGCACTTCCACTCCCACTCACACCAACAGCAACACTCCCCCCAAACCCACCTTCCCTCAACCTCCTCTCAAAACTCGTCACACCACCAACCCCCAACCTCGCATCCCTACTACTCTGTACAGGCGGCGCACTCATAGTCCCCAACCTACCCCTTCCCTCCCTCTCCAGAAACGAAGAGCCCAGCGGTCGCCGCACAGGAGAAAGAACACGTGCTTTCTCAGGACTAGGCGGGAGTTCAGGCCGTTTAGCGCGTACAACGCTGCGTTTACTGGGTGTTTTGAGGTAACCTGGTTTACTGCTTGTAGTAGGTGGAGGGGGCAGGGGCGTTCCGGACCAGAAGGTGGATTGTGCGGCGTCGCCGAATGAGAGATCGGATTCGTCGTCTTCTGGGATGGTGGCGGGAGGGGGGCGGGCGGCGGATTGGGGTTGTGGGTAGGTGTTTGGGCGGCGGAGAATGGAGCCTGGGGGGCGGGTTGTTGATGCGGGTGAGGGGATGGGGGCGTAGGGGTTGGGGGTGAGTGTTGGATGGCGGGGTGGTTGTTCTGGCGTGAGGGACAGGGAGAGGTCGAGATCGCTGTTAAGACCTAGAGCGGTCTCGTCGAAGGCGGTCCAGGATTCGAGACGTTGGGTTTCATCACCGGATTGCTGAAAGCCTCCTTGCCCGGCGGTGTTGTTGCCGTCGTGGTCGTCAAAGCCTCCGTCGTTTCCGTGACCGGTGTAGTCATCCTCGTCATCTCGTCTTCGTCTTCTCGACCTACTAGGAGGCGATGGACTCCCAGCCCGTTGGCCAAGCCGCTCGGTAGCACGTTCGGCCCAGAAACGAACCATGGCTCTAACGTGCTTCTCAAAGTTCCTCTCAAACAATGCTCTCGCGTTCTCCTCTTGCCTCTGGAAGTTCCAAAGACGCCAGCCCATCTTCTTCAGAGCACCAGTAGCAGCAATTTCCGTGCTTTCCTGCCGTAGAGCGACAGCTTGCCCTTCGAGTGTGTGTACAAGGTCCATGCGTTGGGACCAAATGGCGAAGTAACGGGTGGAGAGTTTGAAGGCGTGTAGGCTCTCGGCCTGGGCATGTTGCTGGCGAAGTATGAGCGTGCGGTCGTGCCATTGATGCAAGATTGCGCCACTGCTTTGGTAAGTGCGGTTGTCCAGCACATCGTTCGCCCTCTGTGTCAGCACTGCGATATGGTTTGCCTTGTCTCGCCAGTGCTCAAAAACTCTGCGCACGAGATTCGTCTTGACCATTCTACGGACTTGCGAGTATGTGTCGCGTCTGCGATTACGGCGCGCATGTTGTGTGGCTTGGCTCCATGTGTTCAGTGTATGTTTGCTAAGAACGTAGAAGCGCGCATCGGCCGACCACTGATTCAACTCTTGAAAGTGCGCTTGCCTCTCCTTGAGCTTGTCGAATATGCGCTGCTTGAGCTTTTGCTGATACTGGGACAGAATAGCGAACTGCTCCCTTCGCCTCTCCGTAGTGATAGCTTCCATCTTGCGCAGGCACGTACGCATCAGTTGAGCACGCTTGAACTGGGCGAACCGAACTTCCGCAGTATCAAGAGTGTTGACGCGCTGGTTGGTCTTGGTGACCCAGGATAGGAATGTTGACTGTTTGAGCTGTCGATCGTGGACACGCTGGAAGAGGGATACTCGGGAGGCTAAGGTCCATTTGTACAAGCATTCAACAAGGATGCGGTCGTTGATCCGATCCTCGAGAGCTTTGACGCGCAATCTATCATTCCAGGCAGTGTAGGCATTGCGTAGGACGCGCATGCGGTCAACATTGCGTGCTTGACGGGATAGCTGAGCGTCTTTGCGCCAATCCTGGAACTTTGCACGAAGCAAATGACCGTTGGTGCGTGCTTGGACCTGGCGCAGTAGCGGCTCGAGCTGTGCCTGCCTCTGGAGGGTCTGGACCGTCGTGCGAAGGAGAGAGGTCTGTCGGAATTGGTCCGCCTGGGATTGCAGAGTCTTCACTGCCACTGTCTTCTGCTGCCACGTCCGGAACGTCTTGCGCATGAGTGTTCCATCGCGCCGGTCCGTGGCCCACATGTTCCGCTCCCTCATGATCTCGGTGATCTCGCGCCATTTCTGCAGTGTTGTCCTTGCTGTCCTTGTGTCATGCCAGTTCGCTGCGCCTCTGTTGAGGTACTCGTTGTTAAGAGCATTCCACGACTTCCTGACAATCTTCTCTTCATAGTATGACTCAGCGAAGTCATTGCGATCCTGCACTTTTGCTGCGCGTGCTCGCCATATAGAGAGGAACTTTGCAAGAGCAAAGTGTTGGATCTTCAGCTCGTTGACTGCCGTGATATCGCGCCAACCGTTGAAGAAACGTGTGCGTAGAATATGCCGTCGCGCAACCGACGTTCGCTGAACCTCGTCCTCCGCACACTTTGCCCAATGTGTGAATGCCTTGGTGAGCAGGAACAGACTGCGAGCCTTGTCTGCGCGGGTTTCCAGCCGATCGAAGAAGCGATTCGTCTCTCGACCAGAACGCCTGACAAGCGCGGTATCCCGTAGCTGCAAGAGGGAGGCCCTGAGCAAGACACGACGATCGAAGGCGACCGCTGCTCTCTCCATATCGTCGCGCAAATTCGTACGCTCTTGCGTGCGGTTCCGCCATATCCGTATACACTCTCTCGTCACTCGGTGTAGCCGTTGCTCTTCGAAGGTTTCCGCATCGTCCATCAATCGGGTATCGGAGGGTCGAAACGGTTCGGGGACATATTGTTGGTGTTGTGTCTGTCGTGATTGCTGAAGGCGGCGCTGGTGTGGGGAATCGTACGGATCGTTCGGTATCGGCGCGTTCACTCCTGGTATCTGGATGGAAGAGAGGTCGAGGCTAGCCGTGTGGTCGGTGAAATCGCTCTCATCTGCATCGTGGGTTCCAGTTCTATACGTTGTGGTAGGATTTCTTCGAATTCGCAGACTGCCGTAACTTGAGACAGAAGTGCTGCGCTTGTGGACTGGCGGCTGCGGTCCGGAACTTGACCTCCGAGGCGCGATGCCATTCACTTTGGGGTGACTCGGAAGTGGCGCTGGCCGGTACGAATGCGCTTCGGTGTCTGACGTTGCGCGCCGGTGGTTGCGCGTGTTAGGATAGCCATCAGGAGCATTCTGCTGTGATGGTCTCCTCGGGCGCACAGCCAAATCGCCATAGTCGGTGCCGGCAACCTTGTCTGCAGTCCCATCGAGAAACGAGTCGAAGCTCCCGGTTCTCGTGTACCGCCCTAAGCTCGCCTGCGCCCCTCTACGCGTCGCGTCAATGTTGTTCGGAACTTCAACGACCTCTTCGTCGCCGAGTTCTCCATTGAGACCGAAATGCTCCTTCACCACGCGCAGAACCAGCGACATCAAGTCCTCGCCTTCCCGCGCATATTCCTGCATGCGCAACAGGAAACTGTGGTACAGAGCTGCATCTGTAGGCGAAGAATGGTGTTCCTTGACATATTCGTCATATGCGACGAAAAGGGCGTCAATGGATCCATCGTGGGAGTCTTGCGCGCGAAGGACGATATTGTGAATGGCATCGGAGACTACTGTAGTGTTAGTATGACCATTGATCAATTCTTTTCTCAGTTAATTTACCTTCATCCCGACAAAGATCATCAGCTGTTATAGCCCTCGCATCATCTCCATTCAGCCTCATGGAGGATAGCATTCGTGCACGCGACTCGTTCGTCTCCGGCGCGTTCGCGACAACATGGAAGGGACCGGCGGCTGTAATGATTCGAACAGCAACCAAAAAGCAGCGGCATGCAAGGAGGAATTCGTGGGTTCGTCGCGCAACAATCAAGCATTACAAGTCCAAAGTAAGAAGAGAGGAGCGATGAAGGGCTGTTGGTGCGCCCGCGTTTTGGCGTTGCAGCGACGCGCTTTGTTGTTGCAGTGGTTGGCCGCCCGCGTTCGTGGATGCGAGGGCGCCAAGGCTTTAGCTGGGTGGGCCCTGTTCGTTGACCTCATCGAGGTGGAAGGGCGTGGGTTCGCCGTGGCCAAAGAAATTCACATATCTTGCAGCATCTACTTCTTAGTGACACTGCTACTCATACTACTCGAGAGGGATACACAGTACTACTCGAGATGCCCGGTCGAACACGTCCCATCGATAAACTCGCCACAGCGGCTGCAAAATGCTCGACAGAGGTATGATACGCCCCTCAGTGACAGTCAGGTTCAACTCGATGCTGACATACTCCAGAGCGCAGTATACGGCAAATGCATCTTCGCAGACTACAACAATGTACGGAAAGACATGTGTGTCAACGAGTTCATGAAGCTTAAGGAGTGCTATCTGGTAATGTCTCCTCACCGCATCAAAAGCCATGACAACTAACCCAAGTTTCAGAAGGCATATAAGCAGCGGTGACGGCACTTGTAACGACACATCTTCATCATAGAATCACACAGCATACGAAGGCGTTCGGTGTAAACATGGAAATTTTGATTTGATTTCATCAACGATTCATGCAGCGCCACTATACTATCAAACCACACGATAACGCTACTATAGCTTGATCAACCGCAACATGAAAGTCGCCTTGTGGAGCTCTTGCTCTTC